CTCACATTGAAATTCCAAATTTAAACAACGCTTTTTCAAAAAAAAGATTTCTGCTTAAATAAGTAAGTGCATGTATCAACTACTAAAGTTCTATGTTAAAAATGATTTAATTTTAGCTTAATTTTTTAGAAAAAAACCTTATAGGAATTACCTAAAATTTTCCTGTTTCGCTTAAATAAATATATTTAAAGTATAAAATGAGATGAAAAAAATGGGCTATAAATTGAGCATAAAATGGGGCTACAGTATAGGATATAAATTGAGCATAAAATGGGGCTACAGTATAGGATATAAATTGAGCGTCAATTTAGGACTTAGGAGATCCCAAAATAAAAACACCCACCGCCTAACATCACACTCCTTCCAAGTTGTGTCCTAAAAAACCCTAACTTTCGACTATCATCGATCTCTGCAAGTATGGAAGTTAGCGTTCTACAGGTTTCTTTTCTTTTCTTGCAATGTCTTTAATGTGGCTTTTTTGTCCACAATCATCTTAATATGAACTGTGTCTCTTACGTTCTTTCTATTCGACGCAAATGTCAATGTGGAAACAAATTACTTATATAACTAATGTTAAGATTTAAAAACCTCCAGATACCAGAAAAGGGTGTTAGTTTTTATAATTTCAACTCTCAAAGTTGATTGGAAACTTAAAACCCAGGAATAAAATTGATCGGATTTACACTTCTTGTGTTTACCTAAACACCATATGTAGTTATTTCTGTTGATCCGAAATAAAACACATACATGTTCGGTTGATGTATGTTATTGATCATTCATGCATGTTCCCTTGTGGCTATGTACATAGCTGTGTTTCTTCCTATGTTGCTGCTTACAAAAAAAGTAATATATTATTTTGAAACAGAAGTCGATGGAGGTGGCCATGAACAAGTGCAGGAAAGAGTGTGAAGATGAACAAATGAAGAGAAAGAAAAATGAGGTTCATTGGTTTGCGTTTCTTGCAGATGACGTGGTTTTAGATATCCTTAAAAGGCTTCCTTATGTTTTCCTTCGTTATAACGCTAAGTATGTCTGTAGAAAATGGTTCAATATAATTAACATGATCTTGTCAGACAATTCTTTTTTTATCCTCCAGAAGTCATTTAGATTTACGGTCCGCTATGTGGATGTAAGGGAAGAAGGACAAGGACTAGAAGTGAAAGAGCAAAACCTATATTTCTTTGGAAGGATAAAGTCATGGTATAACGAGTTTCTTCTGATAACAAACCCCACCAGAAAAAGAAACTCGCTGTATATTTACAATATAATCACCAAGGAAAAATCATTTCTTCCCAAGTGTCCAACATTTTTTGCACATCAAGATACTAGCGTATGTGCAATGGCCCTTTTTTTTGACAGATTGAAGGGAGTATATAAGGTTGTTCACTTGTTTATGGGCCTATCAATCCAATGCTATATTCTACAATTGGAAAAAGGTATTGTAGTCTCTCGTGTTTCCTCAAGGTGGAAAAAGATCAAAGTACCTTTTTACTTGCATCCTAGGGATGTGGGTGAGTTAGTTTCAATTCAAGTTCAAGGAAGGTACTTTCATTGGAATGTTAATTGTTCTAAGTACCTGGTTTCTGTTGATATGATAAAAGAAGAAGTTCTCCAAATGAGCCTACCTGAACCCGGTGAGCGTAAGAGACTCTACTATTCTATTTTTGAGATGGGTGGTTTTCTCAGCCTCATTGATGGAGTTTCTTGGGACAAAACTGACTTATGGATTCTTAAAGATTTTCAAAGTATGAAGTGGGAGAAGTTGCATTCGATAACCGTCCCGGATCATGGCTTTGTAAGTGCTTCTTTTCGATATCCAGTTTGTGGCGTGATAAATAAGAGATATATCGTTTTCATGAGATCAAGACACAATAAAAGTTTGTTTAGTTATGATCTGAAAAATAGAGTCTTTAAAGAGCTAAACATCCGCATTGATTTGGGTGATCTTTGTGTGGCTCATTCATCAGGACCAAGTGGAAAAACTATAAGGGAGGATGTACCGGTGTCGTTTTAAAGTTGTTGACTCATGGCTGATGAAATTAAAAAGTAGTCGGGTTATAATTTTACTCTGGCATGTTTTATTCTTGTTTATCTGCAGTATTGACTATTGATAATGGATACATTATCACCACTTTTGACTTTGGTGTTGTACGATATAAGCATAAGATTTTTTTCTTAAAAGGATGGATATTCTACTCTTACCTGCTTTAATTTAACATTTATAACCGTGCTTGTGCTATTTAAGGTAGCTAGTAAAAGGCGACCTTCGTAGTTGTTTCATGGTTTAATCATCGGTTTCCATCGTTCTGAAAATCGGTTTGATCACTGAAGTGGTCATCGTCATTTTATCAGCTTGATGGTTCAACCCGTCTAAAAACTAGTTGATAGAATTATTGCAACACAATTAAATCCACTACTTGAGACGTAGACTTACTCCTTTATGTCATTGAAATCCCAAGAAAAATCATAATACATTATCCTAATTTATGAAAAAATCTCAAACTAAAATTTGTTTACGAAAAAGATGAAGTACATGTAAAAATGACGGTATGATCCATTTTTCCCGGTTTACCAGTCTCATTACTTACCTGGTTTTATTAAAGTCTCATTATTTTATCCTAATTTATGAAAACAGCCACAAATTAAAATTTAGTGATGATCTGACAATTTTCTCCACATAACATATATTTTACCGGTTTTATTTCTAACCTAGACACTTACTCATTAAATGAGTTGATAAGATGGATACGATAAATTATATAATGTTACGCTTACCGTAAAATTTTATACCCGTCTCATCGGCTCATTTATGACTATGTATACAGGTTCTCAATGAAACCGGTAAAATGTGTGTTTTCGAGAAAAAATGAGATGGTGTCTGATAAGATAGATATACTGGGTTACATAAGATTAGATGGGCTATTTGAAATTTATTATAAACTTAGAAAATGACGAAGTTGTTGCTAGTTTATGTAATTATTGCAATCTTCGTTGGATGCATTTTATATTCCAAAAAATAAATAATACATCAAAATATCAAGTTTTATGGTAAACATAGCATTATATAACCCAACATATCCATCTCATTAGCTCATTTAATGACTAGGGATCCATGTCAACTATAAAACCTGTAAAATGTATTTTACATGGAGAAATTGGTCAAATCATCACTCAATTTTAGTTTGGACTTATTCGTAAATAGGGTAAAATAATGAGACTTTAATGGAAAATACATTTTACCGGTTTTATTGTTCACATGGACCCTAAGTCATTAAATGAGTTAATGAGATGGATATATAATTCATGGAATTAAGTAAGTAATGAAACCAAGTAATGAGAGTTCAATGGAACCTAGTAAGTAATGAGAGTTCAATGGAAGCTAGTAAGTAATTAAACCAGTAAACCAAAAAAATAGGTTAAATCATCATTTTTACAGATAATTTATGTTTTTTCGTAAACAAATTTTAGTTTGTGACTTTTTCCTAAATTAGGGAAAAAATATTGTGACTTTTTTGGAGATTTTCTTTAATTAATTAGAAAAAGAATAATGAAACTGTAGCTCATCTAACTTTTCGGATTTGATCTAAAAGGCCACTCAAGTTATTATTTGGCTTTATAGGATCCTAAATTGGATTATTTTAAATTTTATAGAGTAAATTACACGAATAGTCCCTATGGTTTAGGGTAATTTGTGCGTTTGGTCCCTAACTTATTTTTTTTTAACTGAGAAGGTCGTTACTGTTTATTTTTATTACGCGCTTGGTCCCCGTGTTACCTAAAAATACTATTTTCCCTTGATTTGTTAATTTATTTAAATAAACACACCCCCAACCTCACTCACTCACATTACCTTACGTACCCCATCATTTTTCCCTATTTAAATAATAATCTTTTTAGGTAAGACAGGGACCAAACGTGTAAAAAAAATAAACAGTAGGGATCAAGCGCGTAACAAAAACTAGTAGTAGGGACCATCCGAGTTAAAAAAATTAGTTAGGGACCAATCGTGCAAATTACCCCAAACCATAGGGAGCATTCGTGTAATTTACTCAAGTTTATACTATCAAAATTCAAAGGGTAAATTACACCATTCGTCCCTCGTGCACATGCCAGAAAGCGTGTTTAGTCCCTATTTTCAAAAATTAACTCGGAACGTCCCTCGTTTGGTTAATAGTTGCAGGCTACATCCCTCATTAGTTTTAATTTGCGAGCTACATCCCTTGCGAGACCTAAAATGACTATTATGCCCTTTTATACTTCTTTACCATTCAATTTAATGTTATAATTATTATTTTTTAATTTAAAATAAAAGAAAAAACAATATGGCCCCATTTCATGCCCCCACCCCCAACAAATCATCGGATGAACACCACATGCATCTCTCAAACACCATACATCCATCGCCAACTTCCCAATTCAACCATTCTTCGTCAAACATATACCTTATAACACCTTAAAACCCACCACCAGCTTCCTACCTCCTCCTTTGTCGGGTTACATCACCATCGGAACACCCTTGTTGCACCCATTTTCATCATCACAAACCGCAACCAACACCCAATTTAAACCATACCTTCAAAATTGGAAAACCAACCACAGTCGGAACCACCTTCGTACAACATGCACCATTCGAATATCATCAGTTCATTGACTCCAAACAACAACTACCACCTGCCTTATATTACCCTCGAAGCCAACCATCTCTATCCCCCAGTTTCTGAACCCGCTTCTGCAATCTGAATCTCCATCATCTTCGATTTATAAGTTTAGGGTTTAGTTTAGTTTCATTTGCAGGTTCAGGTTTCATTTTTTGAGGTTTGAGTAATGACTGTTGGTGATTGTAGGAGGTGTTGCCAGTCTATGAGACAAAGTGAGAAAGATGATCGATTAAATTCAAAGAAGTAGAAAGGCAATTGGGGAAAGGATAAATCGCAACTTACTTCTCTCTTTTCGATCTTCTAATTTGCTGCAAATTGAGAATAGTTAAAACGAGAGGCTACTTAGGGTTGAGTGGAGATATGAGATGGTGGTGGTGATTGTGGTGTTGTTGATGATTCCAACGGCGATGGTGGTGCTGTTGATGATTCCATGTGCAGTTCCTTCTTGAGTTCTAGGGTTTGATAGAGGCGATTAGAGGAGGATGAAGATCGACTGGTCCGATTTTGGCTTATCACATTTGGGTGAAGGTGAAGGTGAAGGTGGGGCTGATGGGGCTTCGCCGACTTTGGGAGTGGCTGAGAATGGGGGACAAAGGTAGAGGAATACGTAGGAGGGGGGAGTAGGGAGGGGTGGGTTCATGTATGTTTATTTATTGTTTTTTTCTTTTTTTTAATCTAAAAATAATAAACAGATAAAAATAAAATTAAAAAAGAAATAAATAAGGGCAAAATGGTCTTTTTATGTCCAGAGGGACGAAACGTGCAAGTTTTAAACGAATGAGGGACGGTCCGAGTTAATTTTTGAAAATAGGGACTAAACACGCTTTCTGGCATGTGCACGAGGGACGAATGGTGTAATTTACCCAAATTTAAAATACAAGATTCACCAAATACTTAAATACATCCATATTTAACATTAGATACACATAATATTTACTAACAAGACACATCATATATTTTGAAGCTTATTCAGAATATATTGCAACTCACAAGCAACGTTTTCAATATTCATTTGTTGTAGTGGGGAATCCACGGAACATGATACTCCGATCATCACAGTTGGGGCCACACATCCCTCTATTTTCTTTGTATTAACTATAGTATATTGCGTAGTTATAGCATCCTCTTGAAAAAAGTTTAGATAGCATTATCAGTGACATCCGTTACATGGTCTGGCAAGGCCATGTATGCAAATTTGTGTAAGCTAAGGCCTTTGTTAAAGATGTCATTTGTTGCCCTTTTCCTGTCATCACCTCGAACAACAGTATTCCAAAACTATAGACATCCCCACTACTTGTTATCACACTCCCAACACCATACTCTGTAACTTATAAGCAGTTACTTTAATAAAGGAAATTTACTAGCTACAAATTTTATATGAGCATTTGGAAATACATTAACTTTACCTGGAGGTGCATACCTAATTGTTCCTCTACTGCCACTTGTCATGTGTTGGTTTGAATTTTTTCCAAGAAATTGAGTTGAATCGAAGTTTCCCACATGGTTCAACATATCATCATCCAACATAATGTTGCTAGGCTTCAGGTCACAATGAACGATGGTTGGTAGGCAATGATTGTGAAGAGAATCAAGGGCAGAAGCGACATCAAGGATGATTCTTATTTTTTGATGAAGATTTAGCATGGATGTACGCGTACTTAAATGCAACCAATCATTTAATATCCCTTTGGGCATGATCTCGTATAACAAAGCTTTGAAGTCATTTCCTTGAAAGTCAACACTTAAACATGAAGTTATTATCTTAAACAAATTATGGTGTCAAATATCCCTCCACAATATACTCTCTGCTACAATGCTTTTATGAGTACCTCGGTTTTGATGATGAAGAACTTTGAATGCAACAAATCTATCATCATGATCAATGACTCCTTTGTAGCCTTGAGAAGTTGACTGTATGGTACTTTCATGAACCGTCCGTCCCTCGATGATAAAGATGGTTGGCTCTTCTTTTTATTAAACCAAATTAAAAAACTATTAAACAAAATATGGTGAAAAGTGTGGATGCAATCAAAATAATTATTAAGAACAAAGGAAACTTTTTTGATGTTTTCTCGTCTCCTTGCATTTAGGTAACCCAAGTTCAGCCATGCCACCACAAAGTCTAGTATTCCCCAAAACAGAGAATGCACTTGCATTAGCAAACAATCCAATCACTGATACTTCACCTTCAAATCATTAAATGATAGATTTACATACTCAAATGAGAATTGTTCTGAGAATTGAGGAATTTGACCTGATAAATTATTATGAGAGAGATCAAGTATCTTAACTCCTCTCATGGAACTTAATGAAGATGGTATTTTGCCTTGAAATTAGTTGTCTTTGAAAAACAAGAATACAAGGCTAATGCAACCACCAAGGCTATTTGGAATGTTACATGATAAATTATTATCAAATAAATCAAGAGCACTCAGCATCTTGAGTTGGCCAGCTTCTATTAAAAGTGACCCAAACAGGTTGTTCTGAGAAAGATCTATTGCTATGGTTAAAGATGAAAGTTGAAGAAGTTGTTCAGGTATTTTCCACTAAGTTTATTGTGAGCAATTTGCAACCGTAATAGACAATGACAATTTTCCATGCTTAATAGAATTTGCACTCTAATATGTTAGATCTTAAATAAGGGTTAATCAATAACGATAGGTTTCCAATAGGAGTTTGGATTCGACCATAAAAATTGGTTGTCATATAGAACAACTACTTGAAGCTGACTAATGGCGGATGGGATTTTTCTAGTGAAACGGCTATCTAATTAATCTAAAGTGGTCAAGCTGACTAGATTACATATACTTGAATGGATGTGTCGATATAAATTATTTTTCTTTCAAGTGTAGATGAAGGTATAACATCCCGAAATCAAGGACATTTTTTTCATTTTCAGAACCAATGGAAAACCATAAATGTATATAAAACATAGTTTCCAAAAGTCATAAACATGAATCAGAGTATCCCAATATCATAATCTAAAAAAATCTAGAATGATGTGCAAGATCAAGCCTTCACCTTGCCCCTGTCCTCTAAAGCACCTAAAACCATAACAGTCAAACTATAAGCCAAAACTTAGTGCGTTCCCCCAAAGTATCACACACAACCATACAGATAATATCATGCATATACGAGCCTACAGCTTAATTGGACCGCCTTGCAGGCCTACAACCTATCTAGACCGCTCTCCGGGCCTTCGTCCTGACTCGACCGCCTTGTAGGCCTTCAGTCTATCCGGACCGTCCCGAGTATCTTGGCCTTCAACACAAAGTACGACCGCATCAACGCAACAAAACATAATACATCGACATATACAATTACAATCAATAACCAACAAGTATAGGTAATCATATAGATCTACCAATCTAACACATAACCGGTGAACACAAGTAATCATAAAGATCTACTAGTCTATCATTAAACTAGCGTAGCATCATCCAATATACCATGCTACATAATCCAGTGAGCCAGCATTGGTCCATTCGACCCACGAGTACAGTGAGGAAAACTCACCTCACAAACTGCAAAATAGTTGAATAGATCACTACTCCAAACGCTGACTCTACCGGTCACCTATACAATAAATAGGGACCTAATTTCAAACTGCTATTCAAAATACCCAAAATTCCCCTAAGTCAAATTGGGTTAAATTTCTTGTCAACGGTCAAAGTCAAAATGTCAAAGGGTCAATATGGATTGGGTACGCCCTGCATACTCACTCACTACGCATGGCATAGTGAGGTCCTTCTTGGTTACTACGCTCTAACCTGGTACGAGCAGCGTACCACAAGGTACGCCCAACGTACTAGTGTTGACCCAGAACTCCTTGTTAAGTCCTTAACATAGAAAGGCAACTCATCAACCTTCAGATCTAGGCAAAAGGGGACGTCTTAATGGATAAAGTCTCTGATTTTATCCATATACATGCATACATGCAAAAGGGTATAAATTCAAACCCTAGGTCGAAAAGTCATCCAAGGCTCCAAAACTCGTGTATGGCTTAATGAGCGTGATGATGCTCTCATTTTTATGACTCCATAAGGACCTAGAGTAGCTCATACTTTACTAGACCAAGACTATGGAACCAAAAATGTACAAAAATCCTAGACTAGCAAGATCTTAGCACATAAAACAGCAAGTTCCAAGCTTTACACCTTCTGAGGATGGTTGTGGGTGAGATACTCCTGGATCTAAGGTGGCTTGAACTTCCAAGCTAGTATTCCACCTTCTTCCTCTTTCACAAGCACAAGAATACACACTTTCAAGCTAAAAATACACACACCAAGGGATTGGGGCTTGCAATGGACGTTTTTAGGAGATGGAGAATGATGGGGAAAGGTCTCAAAGGAGTTAATGACATTATATGGATTCTCAAAAGATTTTCAAAGTATGAAGTGGGAGAAGTTGCATTCGATAACAATCCAGGATCATGGCTTTGTAAGTGCTTTTTTTATATCCAGTTTGTGGCGTGATAAATAGGAGATATATCATTTTCATGAGATCAAGACACAATAAGAGTATGTTTAGTTATGATCTGAAAAATAGAGACTTTAAAGAGCTAAACATCCACATTGATTTGGGTGATCTTTATGTTGCTCATTCAACAGGACCAAGTGGAAAAACTACAAGGGAGGAGGTATCGGTATCATGCTAAAGTTGTTGAATCATGGCTGATGAAATTAGAAAGTAATCGGGCTTATAATTCTACTCTGGCATGTTTTTTTCTTGTTTAGTTGCATTATTGACTATTGATGATGGATACATTATCACCACTTTTGACTTCGGTGTTGTATGATGTAAACATAAGCTCTTTTTCTAAAAAGGGCAGATATTATATTCTTACATGCTTTAATTGAACATTTATAACCCTGCTTGTGCTATTTAAAGTAGCTAGTAAAAGGTGGCCTTCATAGTTGTTCCAAGGTTTACTCATCGGTTCCCATAGTTTTGAAAATCGGTCTAGTCAATAAAGTGGTCATGGTCATTCCATAAATTTGATGGTTCAACCGGTCTAAAAACAAGATTATGTAATTATTACAACACAATTAAATATAAAGTTATATATATATATATATATATATATATATATATATATATATATATATATATATATATATATAACAAAAAAAACTAGGGCTCAACTATCTTTACGAAAAAACATGAATTAACGGTAAAAATAACGATTTTATCCATTTTTCTCGGTTACCGGTTTCATTACTTACTTGGTTCCATTAAAGTCTCATTATTTTATTTTAATTTACGAAAAGTCACAAACTAAAATTTAGTGATGATCTGATTGTTTTCTCCTTTTAATATACATTTTGCTGGTTTTATTTCTGACATGGTCGCTTAGTCAATAAATGAGTTGATAAGATGGATACGATAAGTTATATAATGTTACGCTTACCGTAAAATTTGATACACGTCTCATCGGCTCATTTATGACTATGTATATAGGTCCGTAATGAAACAGGTAAAATGTGTGTTTCTGAGAAAAAGAATGCGGGAAATGAGATGGTGTTTGATGAGATAGATATACTGGGTTACATAAGATTAGATGGACAATTTGAAATTTATTATGAACTTAGAAAATAACGAAGTTGTTGCTAGTTTATGAAATTATTGCAATCTTCATTGGATGTATTTTATTTTCCAAAAAATATACAGTACATCACGATATCAAGTTTTATGGTAAAGATAACATTATATAACCACATATTCGTATCATTAGCTCATTTGATGACTAGGGGTCCAAGTCAACAATAAAACCGGTAAAATGTGTGTTACAATGAGAAAATGGAAAAATCATCACTAAATTTTAGTTTGAGACTTATTCGTAAATTAGGGTAAGATAATGAGACTTTAATGGAAAATACATTTTACCGGTTTTATTGTTGACCTGGACCCTAGTCATTAAATGATCTAATGAGATGCATATGTAATTCATGGAACCATGTAGGTAATGAAACCATTGGAACAAGGTAAGTAATGAAACCGGTAAACCGGGAAAAAAGGTCAAATCATCATTTTTTATGGTAATTCATGCTTTTTCGTAAACAAATATTAGTTTGAGACTTTTTCCTAAATTAGGGTAAAATATTATGACTTTTTTGGAGATTTTCCTTAATTAATTTTAAAAAAAAAGGTTAATGAAACTGTAGCCCATCTAACTTTTGGGATTTGGTCTAAAAGGCCATTGAAGTTATTTTCTGGATTTACAGGAGCATAAATTGGATTATTTCATAGTTTATACCATCAAAATTTAAAATACAAGATTCACCAAATACTTAAATACATCCATATTTAACATTAGATACACACAATATTTACTAACATGACGCCTCACATATTTTGAAGCTTATTCAGAATATGCTGTAACTCACATGAGACATTTTCAATCTTCACTTGTTGTGGTGGGGAATCCACGGAACATGATACTTCGATCTTCACATCTGGGGCACTTGGTATGCCCAACATATGCGCCCTATTCCCTTTTTCCTATTAAGAGCTGAATACTCCACATCTTCTCATCCAAAGTCAGATCCAAAGCTAAAATACCCTCAAGACTCATAAATTTTCCAAATTTATGACTTTACATGCCCATTAAGTGCTTAATACACAAAATCTCAACATCTTAATTCCTTAAGACCTTCTATAGTATGAATGGAGCAAAACTAACCATCAAGACCACATTTTTATGACTCAAGACCCCTCATAAGGTCTGAAAGGACGACTTATTGGGTTTAGAACATGCCATGCTCAAGAATCGCCATTTTTGGGACAAAAAGTGTCTTAAAAGATGAAATGTCTAAATCTACAAGATGGAGTGATCAAGTTAATTAAGAACTTTATACCTCCAAGTGATGTCAAATGATGATGTGATTATGGATCTATGGTGCTTTACTCCTCCACGATGGTCTCTACTTCCTTCTTTCTTCTTCAAATGCAGAAAACACACACATAAACTCAAAAATTCTCACAAGATAGATTAGAGTTTGCAAAAACATTTTGAGAGGATGAAGGCTGATGAAAGGAACCAGGTTTGAGAGTTAATGAAGCATAAGTATGGTCCAAACCCTAAATATTAGGGTTTGGGACTTCACCCCGTACGCCCATCGTACGCAAACGTACGCCCAACGTACGTGGCTCCGCCCCACCATTCCAAAAATGGCAATATTAGCCCGTCCCAACCATAAATCTTACATAATAAGGACCAAAATGTAATAAAACCCAATATAAGGGTCAAAAGTGAAAGTACCTCAAAACAAGATGTTACAATTCTCTTTTAGGACTAAATGTTGTTTGGTTGTTAAAGGCTTACGAAGTACTTAATAAAGATAAGACTAGGATATTTGATGGCTAATACTTGTTTTGGTGGATACATATAGTGGATTTGTACTGTGGGGGTCTTTTGTCATCTTCTTGAACTTTCAAGTCTCTCTTTGAGGAATCAAGGTCTACAAAGGTTGACATTATTTTTATTCTATGGTTGGTTTAATCTTTCGATAAATGCAAAAACATCATTGGTGGGTAAAAATAGTTTTAAGTTTATTCAAATTTTAAAGCTTCCGATGCCGTATTTACCGTTTTAAGAACAATTTTTTTTTTAATAAAACCCAACATTTTCAAGTGACAAAATCCGAAAGATGGTAACGGTATGAAGAACATCGATGACTGCCAATCATTTGTCGTTTCCTTGAGAAGGAGATGGCAGAAGGACGTAGACAGAACCTAAAAACCAATAAACGGAAACCATAGAAAAGAAAATAGCATAAATTGTGCACCTATTTTATTCACAATCGACATTTGAGAGTAGCTACAAAGGCATATGAGCAAATGCCTGGAGGACATGATAGAAAAGGTGGTGGAGGACATGTCCCCGACTCCAAACCGTCCACTGTTCATAGCTGACAGCTAAACCGGGAAAGTCACGGCTAAAAACTCGACACTGCTCATAAGCCAATACAGGTTTTAATGTTATATATAATTAAATAGGTTACACAAATTTTAATATGGGATAATCTATCAAATAAACTTTCTATACGGGCATAAAAAGGAACTTTAAAAGGAGTACATGGTAACGAAGATCACATGTGGAAAAAAATAATTTTTTCTAAGATAAGATGATGATGAAGCCAATAAAAGAAAATCTCATTTATTTCTTTGTTAAAAACATAAATGAAGATTATAATTAAACGACTAGAAAACTTAATTTTCCTTTATTGTAAGTAATTAGCTTGTAATAGTTATTAGTGTATATGATTAAAAACCTAAAACCACCCTAGAGAGGTAATCACTTTTTAAAGAAATAAAACAAATACCTGATGCACATGTAGAACATTGAGACGTTAAACTAACAATTTTCAAGTGTTTGACACCGTCGTTAGCTATGTCCATAACATTATGCAACTTAGAATTTTAGGAGGTCGGAAATACTAAGTAACATTAAACTTATCTTTCATACATACCTTCAATTTCACCAAATTTAACAAAGATAAAAGTCTATATTCACAAAAAAGTTCTAAGCGTAGTTTTTAATAAAAAAAGACCTAATGAGAAATTAAATATTCTTTTATAAATTTTTTCTACCAACCTTCTATCCTTATCAAATTATGACATGTGTTATATTTAATTTTTCTTAATAATATTTTAATATATTTTTCACCATTTAATATTGATAGTGGGATAAGTTGGAGAAAATTGTAGGAAGATATTTAATTTTTTATCAGATTTCAAAATATGTTTGTTTGTTAAATCATAGAATATAGATCTCTGTAATATGATTTTTAGGTTTTACGTGTTAAGTTATTAATGATTTATCTAGAATGTTTGGATTTTGAAAATCTCACATTGAAATTCCAAACTTAAACAAGGCTTTTTCAAATTTTTTTTTTTTTTTTTTGCTGCTTAAATAAGTAAGTGCATGTATGAACTACTAAAGTTCTATGTTAAAAATGATTTAATTTTAGCTTAATTTTTAAGAAAAAAACCTTATAGGAATTACCTAAAATTTTCCTGTTTCGTTTAAATAAATATATTTAAAGTTTAAAATGAGATGAAAAAAATGGGCTATAAATTGAGCATAAAATGGGGCGACAGTATTGGATATAAATTGAGCGTCAATTTAGGACTTAGGAGATCCCAAAATAAAAACACCCACCGCCTAACATCACACTCCTTCCAAGTTGTGTCCTAAAAAACCCTAACTTTCGACTATCATCGATCTCTGCAAGTATGGAAGTTAGCGTTCTACAGGTTTCTTTTCTTTTCTTGCAATGTCTTTAATGTGGCTTTTTTGTCCACTATCATCTTAATATGAACTGTGTCTCTTACGTTCTTTCTATTCGACGCAAATGTCAATGTGGAAACAAATTACTTATATAACTAATGTTAAGATTTAAAAACCTCCAGATACCAGAAAAGGGTGTTAGTTTTTATAATTTCAACTCTCAAAGTTGATTGGAAACTTAAAACCCAGGAATAAAATTGATCGGATTTACACTTCTTGTGTTTACCTAAACACCATATGTAGTTATTTCTGTTGATCCGAAATAAAACACATACATGTTCGGTTGATGTATGTTATTGATCATTCATGCATGTTCCCTTGTGGCTATGTACATAGCTGTGTTTCTTCCTATGTTGCTGCTTACAAAAAAAGTAATATATTATTTTGAAACAGAAGTCGATGGAGGTGGCCATGAACAAGTGCAGGAAAGAGTGTGAAGATGAACAAATGAAGAGAAAGAAAAATGAGGTTCATTGGTTTGCGTTTCTTGCAGATGACGTGGTTTTAGATATCCTTAAAAGGTTTCCTTATGTTTTCCTTCGTTATAACGCTAAGTATGTCTGTAGAAAATGGTTCAATATAATTAACATGATCTTGTCAGACAATTCTTTTTTTATCCTCCAGAAGTCATTTGGATTTACGGTCCGCTATGTGGATGTAAGGGAAGAAGGACAAGGACTAGAAGTGAAAGAGCAAAACCTATATTTCTTTGGAAGGATAAAGTCATGGTATAACGAGTTTCTTCTGATAACAAACCCCACCAGAAAAAGAAACTCGCTGTATATTTACAATATAATCACCAAGGAAAAATCATTTCTTCCCAAGTGTCCAACATTTTTTGCACATCAAGATACTAGCGTATGTGCAATGGCCCTTTTTTTTGACAGATTGAAGGGAGTATATAAGGTTGTTCACTTGTTTATGGGCCTATCAATCCAATGCTATATTCTACAATTGGAAAAAGGTATTGTAGTCTCTCGTGTTTCCTCAAGGTGGAAAAAGATCAAAGTACCTTTTTACTTGCATCCTAGGGATGTGGGTGAGTTAGTTTCAATTCAAGTTCAAGGAAGGTACTTTCATTGGAATGTTAATTGTTCTAAGTACCTGGTTTCTGTTGATATGATAAAAGAAGAAGTTCTCCAAATGAGCCTACCTGAACCCGGTGAGCGTAAGAGACTCTACTATTCTATTTTTGAGATGGGTGGTTTTCTCAGCCTCATTGATGGAGTTTCTTGGGACAAAACTGACTTATGGATTCTTAAAGATTTTCAAAGTATGAAGTGGGAGAAGTTGCATTCGATAACCGTCCCGGATCATGGCTTTGTAAGTGCTTCTTTTCGATATCCAGTTTGTGGCGTGATAAATAAGAGATATATCGTTTTCATGAGATCAAGACACAATAAAAGTTTGTTTAGTTATGATCTGAAAAATAGAGTCCTTAAAAAGCTAAACATCCGCATTGATTTGGGTGATCTTTGTGTGGCTCATTCATCAGGACCAAGTGGAAAAACTATAAGGGAGGATGTACCGGTGTCGTTTTAAAGTTGTTGACTCATGGCTGATGAAATTAAAAAGTAGTTGGGTTTATAATTTTACTCTGGCACGTTTTATTCTTGTTTATCTGCAGTATTGACTATTGATAATGGATACATTATCACCACTTTTGACTTTGGTGTTGTACGATATAAGCATAAGATTTTTTTCTTAAAAGGATGGATATTCTACTCTTACCTGCTTTAATTTAACATTTATAACCGTGCTTGTGCTATTTAAGGTAGCTAGTAAAAGGCGACCTTCGTAGTTGTTTCATGGTTTAATCATCGGTTTCCATTGTTCTGAAAATCGGCTTGATCACTAAAGTGGTCATCGTCATTTTATCAGCTTGATGGTTCAACCCGTCTAAAAACTAGTTGATAGAATTATTGCAACACAATTAAATCCACTACTTGAGACGTAGACTTACTCCTTTATGTCATTGAAATCCCAAGAAAAATCATAATACATTATCCTAATTTACGAAAAAATCTCAAACTAAAATTTGTTTACGAAAAAGCATGAAGTACATGTAAAAATGACGGTATGATCCATTTTTCCCGGTTTACCAGTCTCATTACTTACCTGGTTTTATTAAAGTCTCATTATTTTATCCTAATTTATGAAACAGCCACAAATTAAAATTTAGTGATGATCTGACAATTTTCTCCATGTAACATATATTTTACCGGTTTTATTTCTAACCTAGACACTTGGTCATTAAATGAGTTGATAAGATGGATACGATAAATTATATAATGTTACGCTTACCGTAAAATTTTATACCCGTCTCATCGGCTCATTTATGACTATGTATACAAGTTCTCAATGAAACCGGTAAAATGTGTGTTTTCGAGAAAAAATTGCGTAAAATGAGATGGTGTCTGATAAGATAGATATACTGGGTTACATAAGATTAGATGGGCTATTTGAAATTTATTATAAACTTAGAAAATGACGAAGTTGTTGCTAGTTTATGTAATTATTGCAGTCTTCGTTGGATGCATTTTATATTCCAAAAAATATATAATACATCAAAATATAAAGTTTTATGGTAAACATAGCATTATATAACCCAACATATCCATCTCATTAGCTCATTTAATGACTAGGGATCCAGGTCAACTATAAAACCGGTAAAATGTATTTTACAGGGAGAAATTGGTCAAATCATCACTCAATTTTAGTTTGGACTTATTCGTAAATAGGGTAAAATAATGAGACTTTAATGGAAAATACATTTTACCGGTTTTATTGTTCACATGGACCCTAAGTCATTAAATGAGTTAATGAGATGGATATATAATTCATGGAACTAAGTAAGTAATGAAACCAAGTAATGAGAGTTCAATGGAACCTAGTAAGTAATGAGAGTTCAATGGAAGCTAGTAAGTAATTAAACCAGTAAACCAGGAAAAAATAGGTTAAATCATCATTTTTATAGATAATTTATGTTTTTTCGTAAACAAATTTTAGTTTGTGACTTTTTCCTAAATTAGGGAAAAAATATTGTGACTTTTTTGGAGATTTTCTTTAATTAATTAGAAAAAGAATAATGAAACTGTAGCCCATCTAACTTTTCGGATTTGATCTAAAAGGCCACTCAAGTTATTATTTGGCTTTATAGGATCCTAAATTCGATTATTTTAAATTTTATAGAGTAAATTACACGAATAGTCCCTATGGTTTAGGGTAATTTGTGCGTTTGGTCCCTAACTTATTTTTTTTAACTGAGAAGGTCCTTACTGTTTATTTTTATTACGCGCTTGGTCCCCGTGTTACCTAAAAATACTATTTTTCCATTGATTTGTTAATTTATTTAAATAAACACACCCCCAACCTCACTCACTCACATTACCTTACGTACCCCATCATTTTTCCCTATTTAAATAATAATCTTTTTAGGTAAGACAGGGACCAAACGCGTAACAAAAACAAACAGTAGGGATCAAGCGCGTAACAAAAACAAATAGTAGGGACCATCCGAGTTAAAAAAATTAGTTAGGGACCAATCGTGAAAATTACCCCAAACCATAGGGAGCATTCGTGTAATTTACTAAAGTTTATACTATCAAAATTCAAAGGGTAAATTACACCATTCGTCCCTCGTGCACATGCCAGAAAGCGTGTTTAGTCCCTATTTTCAAAAATTAACTCGGAACGTCCCTTGTTTGGTTAATAGTTGCAGGCTACATCCCTCATTAGTTTTAATTTGCGAGCTACATCCCTTGCGAGACCTAAAATGACTATTATGTCCTTTTATATTTCTTTACCATTCAATTTAATGTTATAATTATTATTTTTTAATTTAAAATAAAAGAAAAAACAATATGGCCCCATTTCATGCCCCCACCCCAACAAATCATCGGATGAACACCACCTACATCTCTCAAACACCATACATCCATCGCCAACTTCCCAATTCAACCATTCTTCGTCAAACATATACCTTATAACACCTTAAAACCCACCACCAGCTTCCTACCTCCTCCTTTGTCGGGTTACATCACCATCGGAACACCCTTGTTGCACCCATTTTCATCATCACAACCCGCAACCAACACCCAATTTAAACCATACCTTCAAAATTGGAAAACCCACCACAGTCGGAACCACCTTCGTACAACCTGCACCATTCGAACATCATCACTTCATTGACTCTAAACAACAACTACCACCTGCCTTATATTACCCTCGAAGCCAACCATCTCTATCCCCCAGTTTCTGAACCCGCTTCTGCGATCTGAATCTCCATCATCTTCGATTTATAAGTTTAGGGTTTAGTTTAGTTTCATTTGCAGGTTCAGGTTTCATTTTTTGAGGTTTGAGTAATGACTGTTGGTGATTGTAGGAGGTGTTGCCAGTCTATGAGACAGAGTGAGAAAGATGATCGATTAAATTCAAAGAAGTAGAAAGGCAATTGGGGAAAGGATAAATCGCAACTTACTTCTCTCTTTTCGATCTTCTAATTTGCTGCAAATTGAGAATAGTTAAAACGAGAGGCTACTTAGGGTTGAGTGGAGATATGAGATGGTGGTGGTGATTGTGGTGTTGTTGATGATTCCAACGGCGATGGTGATGCTGTTGATGATTCCATGTACAGTTCCTTCTTGAGTTCTAGGGTTTGATAGAGGCGATTGGAGGAGGATGAAGATCGACTGGTCCGATTTTGGCTTATCACATTTGGGTGAAGGTGAAGGTGGGGCTGATGGGGCTTCGCCGACTTTGGGAGTGGCTGAGAATGGGGGACAAAGGTAGAGGAATACGTAGGAGGGGGGAGCAGGGAGGGGTGGGTTCATGTATGTTTATTTATTGTTTTTTTTCTTTTTTTTAATCTAAAAATAATAAACATATAAAAATAAAATTAAAAAAGAAATAAATAAGGGCAAAATGGTCTTTTTATGTCCAGAGGGACGAAACGTGCAAGTTTTAAACGAATGAGGGACGGTCCAAGTTAATTTCTGAAAATAGGGACTACACACGCTTTCTGGCATGTGCACGAGGGACGAATGGTGTAATTTACCCAAATTTAAAATACAAGATTCACCAAATACTTAAATACATCCATATTTAACATTAGATACACATAATATTTACTAACAAGACACATCATATATTTTGAAGCTTATTCAGAATATATTGCAACTCACAGGCAACGTTTTCCATATTTATTTGTTGAAGTGGGGAATCCACGGAACATGATACTCCGATCATCACAGTTGGGGCCACACATCCCTCTATTTTCTTTGTATTAACTATAGTATATTACGTAGTTATAGCATCCTCTTGAAAAAAGTTTAGATAGCATTATCAGTGACATCCGTTACATGGTCTGGCAAGGCCATGTATGCAAATTTGTGTAAGCTAAGGCCTTTGTTAAAGATGTCATTTGTTGGCCTTTTCCTGTCATCACCTCGAACAACAGTATTCCAAAACTGTAGATATCCCCACTACTTGTTATCACACTCCCAACACCATACTCTGTAACTTATAAGCAGTTACTTTAATAAAGGAAATTTACTAGCTACAAATTTTATATGAGCATCTGGAAATACATTAACTTTACCTGGAGGTGCATACCTAATTGTTCCTCTACTGCCACTTGTCATGTGTTGGTTTGAATTTTTTCCAAGAAATTGAGTTGAATCGAAGTTTCCCACATGGTCCAACATATCACCATCCAACATAATGTTGCTAGGCTTCAGGTCACAAGGAACGATGGTTGGTAGGCAATGATTGTGAAGAGAATCAAGGGCAGAAGCGATATCAAGGATGATTCTTATTTTTTGATGAAGATTTAGAATGGATGTACGCGTACTTAAATGCAACCAATCATTTAATATCCCTTTGGGCATGATCTCGTATAACAAAGCTTTGAAGTCATTTCCTTGAAAGTCAACACTTAAACATGAAGTTATTATCTTAAACAAATTATGGTGTCAAATATCCCTCCACAATATACTCTCTGCTACAATGCTTTTATGAGTACCTCGGTTTTGATGATGAAGAACTTTGAATGCAACAAATCTATCATCATGATCAATGACTCCTTTGTAGCCTTGAGAAGTTGACTGTATGGTACTTTCATGAACCGTCCGTCCCTCGATGATAAAGATGGTTGGCTCTTCTTTTTATTAAACCAAATTAAAAAACTATTAAACAAAATATGGTGAAAAGTGTGGATGCAATCAAAATAATTATTAAGAACAAAGGAAACCTTTTTTATGTTTTCTCGTCTCCGTGCATTTAGGTAACCCAAGTTCAGCCATGCCACCACAAAGTCTGGTATTCCCCAAAACAGAGAATGCACTTGCATTAGCAAACACTCCAATCACTGATACTTCACCTTCAAATCATTAAATGATAGATTTACATACTCAAATGAGAATTGTTCTGAGAATTGAGGAATTTGACCTGATAAATTATTATGAGAGAGATCAAGTATCTTAACTCCTCTCATGGAACTTAATGAAGATGGTATTTTGCCTTGAAATTAGTTGTCTTTGAAAAACAAGAATACAAGGCTAATGCAACCACCAAGGCTATTTGGAATGTTACATGATAAATTATTATCAAATAAATCAAGAGCACTCAGCATCTTGAGTTGGCCAACTTCTATTAAAAGTGACCCAAACAGGTTGTTTTGAGAAAGATCTATTGCTATGGTTAAAGATGAAAGTTGAAGAAGTTGTTCAGGTATTTTCCACTAAGTTTATTGTGAGCAATTTGCAACCGTAATAGACAATGACAATTTTCCATGCTTAATAGAATTTCCACTCTAATATGTTAGATCTTAAATCAAGGTTAATCAATAATGATAGGTTTCCAATAGGAGTTTGGATTCGACCATAAAAATTGGTTGTCATATAGAACAACTACTTGAAGCTGACTAATGGCGGATGGTATTTTTCTAGTGAATCGGCTATTTAATTAATCTAAAGTGGTCAAGCTGACTAGATTACATATACTTGAATGGATGTGTCGATATAAATTATTTTTCTTTCAAGTGTAGATGAAGGTATAACATCCCGAAATCAAGGTCATTTTTTTCATTTTCAGAACCAATGGAAAACCATAAATGTATATAAAACATAGTTTCCAAAAGTCATAAACATGAATCAGAGTATCCCAATATCCTAATCTAAAAAAATCTAGAATGATGTGCAAGATCAAGCCTTCACCTTGCCCCTGTCCTCTAAAGCACCTAAAACCATAACAGTCAAACTGTAAGCCAAAGCTTAGTGCGTTCCCCCAAAGTATCACACACAACCATACAGATAATATCATGCATATACGAGCCTACAGCTTAATTGGACCGCCTTGCAGGCCTACAGCCTATCTAGACCGCTCTCCGGGCCTTCGTCCTGACTCGACCGCCTTGTAGGCCTTCAGTCTATCCGGACCGTCCCGAGTATCTTGGCCTTCAACACAAAGTACGACCGCATCAACGCAACAAAACATAATACATCGACATATACAATTACAATCAATAACCAACAAGTATAGGTAATCATATAGATCTACCAATCTAACACATAACCAGTGAACACAAGTAATCATAAAGATCTACTAGTCTATCATTAAACTAGCGTAGCATAATCCAATATACCATGCTACATAATCCAGTGAGCCAGCATTGGTCCATTCGACCCACGAGTACAGTGAGGAAAACTCACCTCACAAACTGCAAAATAGTTGAATAGATCACTACTCCAAACGCTGACTCTACCGGTCACCTATACAATAAATAGGGACCTAATTTCAAACTGCTATTCAAAATACCCAAAATTCCCCTAAGTCAAATTGGGTTAAATTTCTTGTCAACGGTTAAAGTCAAAATGTCAAAGGGTCAATATAGATTGGGTACGCCCTGCATACTCACTCACTACGCATGGCATAGTGAGGTCCTTCTTGGTTACTACGCTCTAACCTGGTACGAGCAGCGTACCACAAGGTACGCCCAACGTACTAGTGCTGACCCAGAACTCCTTGTTAAGTCCTTAACATAGAAAGGCAACTCATCAACCTTCAGATCTAGGCAAAAGGGGACGTCTTAATGGATAAAGTCTCTGATTTTATCCATATACATGCATACATGCAAAAGGGTATAAATTCAAACCCTAGGTCGAAAAGTCATCCAAGGCTCCAAAACTCGTGTATGGCTTAATGAGCGTGATGATGCTCTCATTTTTATGACTCCATAAGGACCTAGAGTAGCTCATACTTTACTAGACCAAGACTATGGAACCAAAAATGTACAAAAATCCTAGACTAGCAAGATCTTAGCACATAAAACAGCATGTTCCAAGCTTTACACCTTCTGAGGATGGTTGTGGGTGAGATACTTCTGGATCTAAGGTGGCTTGAACTTCCAAGCTAGTATTCCACCTTCTTCCTCTTTCACAAGCACAAGAATACACACTTTCAAGCTAAAAATACACACACCAAGGGATTGGGGCTTTCAATGGACGTTTTTAGGAGATGGAGAATGATGGGGAAAGGTCTTAAAGGAGTAAATGACATTATATGGATTTTTAAAGATTTTCAAAGTATGAAGTGGGAGAAGTTGCATTCGATAACAATCCAGGATCATGGCTTTGTAAGTGCTTTTTTTTATATCCAGTTTGTGGCGTGATAAATAGGAGATATATCATTTTCATGAGATCAAGACACAATAAGAGTATGTTTAGTTATGATCTGAAAAATAGAGTCTTTAAAGAGCTAAACATCCACATTGATTTGGGTGATCTTTATGTTGCTCATTCAACAGGACCAAGTGGAAAAACTACAAGGGAGGAGGTATCGGTATCATGCTAAAGTTGTTGAATCATGGCTGATGAAATTAGAAAGTAATCGGGCTTATAATTGTACTCTGGCATGTTTTCTTCTTGTTTAGTTGCGTTATTGACTATTGATGATGGATACATTATCACCACTTTTGACTTCGGTGTTGTATGATGTAAACATAAGGTCTTTTTCTAAAAAGGGCAGATATTATATTCTTACCTGCTTTAATTGAACATTTATAACCCTGCTTGTGCTATTTAAAGTAGCTAGTAAATAACCACTTGGGTTGTGGTGACTTGGTAAGGCATGTGGAAGATATGGTGGATAACCTATTGACCCATGTTCAAATCCTGGCACTACTCAGCCCTTGTGGCCATGGAGGTTCGCCTGCAGTGACTCCAGGGCATGAGGCAAAGCCTCATGTTTGCAACGGAAGATTAGTCGGTGCGCGAAAGCTGGCCCGGAAACCCTCGTTAGGGAAGTTCCCTTTCCAAAAAAAAAAGTAGCTAGTAAAAGGTGGCCTTCATAGTTGTTCCAAGGTTTACTCATCGGTTCCCATAGTTTTGAAAATCGGTCTAGTCAATAAAGTGGTCATAGTCATTCCATAAATTTGATGGTTCAACCGGTCTAAAAACAAGATTATGTAATTATTACAACACAATTAAATATAAAGTTATATATATATATATATATATATATATATATATATATATATATATATATATATATATAACAAAAAAAAACTCTTCAAAATTATAATACCAGTTAAAATATGAAACTTAAATAAAAAAAACTAGGGCTTAACTATCTTTATATCTTAAAATAGATGTGTAGTCATTTATGTCATTAATTAATGAGAAATCTCCAGAAATGTCATAATATTTTATTTATTTTACGAAAAAATCTTAAATTAAATTTGTTTACGAAAAAACATGAATTAACGGTAAAAATAACGATTTTATCCATTTTTCTCGGTTACCGGTTTCATTACTTACTTGGTTCCATTAAAGTCTCATTATTTTATTTTAATTTACGAAAAGTCACAAACTAAAATTTAGTGATGATCTGATCGTTTTCTCCTTTTAATATACATTTTACTGGTTTTATTTCTGACATGGTCGCTTAGTCAATAAATGAGTTGATAAGATGGATACGATGAGTTATATAATGTTACGCTTACCGTAAAATTTGATACACGTCTCATCGGCTCATTTATAACTATGTATATAGGTCCGTAATGAAACTGGTAAAATGTGTGTTTCTGACAAAAAGAATGTGGGAAATGAGATGGTGTTTGATGAGATAGATATATTGGGTTACATAAGATTAGATGGACAATTTGAAATTTATTATGAACTTAGAAAATGACGAAATGGTTGCTAGTTTATGAAATTATTGTAATCTTCATTGGATGTATTTTATTTTCCAAAAAATATACAGTACATCACGATATCAAGTTTTATGGTAAAGATAACATTATATAACCACATATTCGTCTCATTAGCTCATTTGATGACTAGGGGTCCAAGTCAACAATAAAACCGGTAAAATGTGTGTTACAATGAGAAAATGGAAAAATCATCACTAAATTTTAGTTTGAGACTTATTCGTAAATTAGGGTAAGATAATGAGACTTTAATGGAAAATACATTTTACCGGTTTTATTGTTGACCTGGACCCTAGTCATTAAATGATCTAATGAGATGCATATGTAATTCATGGAACCATGTAGGTAATGAAACCATTGGAACAAGGTAAGTAATGAAACCGGTAAACCGGGAAAAAAAGGTCAAATCATCATTTTTTTTTTGGTAATTCATGCTTTTTCGTAAACAAATATTAGTTTGAGACTTTTTCTTAAATTAGGGTAAAATATTATGACTTTTTTGGAGATTTTCCTTAATTAATTTAAAAAAAAAGGTTAATGAAACTGTAGCCCATCTAACTTTTGGGATTTGGTCTAAAAGGCCATTGAAGTTATTTTCTGGATTTATAGGAGCATAAATTGGATTATTTCATAGTTTATACCATCAAAATTTAAAATACAAGATTCACCAAATACTTAAATACATCCATATTTAACATTAGATACACACAATATTTTACTAACATGACGCCTCACATATTTTGAAGCTTATTCAGAATATGCTGTAACTCACATGAGATATTTTCAATCTTCACTTGTTGTGGTGGGGAATCCACGGAACATGATACTTCGATCTTCACATCTGGGGCACTTGGTATGCCCAACATATGCGCCCTATTCCCTTTTTCCTATTAAGAGCTGAATACTCCACATCTTCTCATCCAAAGTCAGATCCAAAGCTAAAATACCCTCAAGACTCATAAATTTTCCAAATTTATGACTTTACATGCGCATTAAGTGCTTAATACACAAAATCTCAACATCTTAATTCCTTAAGACCTTCTATAGTATGCATGGAGCAAAACTAACCATCAAGACCACATTTTTATGACTCAAGACCCCTCATAAGGTCTGAAAGGACGACTTATTGGGTTTAGAACATGCCATGCTCAAGAATCGCCATTTTTGGGACAAAAAGTGTCTTAAAAGATGAAATGTCTAAATCTACAAGATGGAGTGATCAAGTTAATTAAGATCTTTATACCTCCAAGTGATGTCAAATGATGATGTGATTCTGGATCTATGGT